TTTTTTTTTTCCCCAATCAAAAAAAAAAAAGGTCACCCTCATTCTCCAATAGAATCAATTGATTCGATTGGATTGGATCTTCATTTGGATCCAACCGAATGGAATGATGGGCTTGGATTTTTTTTTATTTTTTTTTTATGGATTGATAGATTAATTTAAAAATAACGGTTGGGGCCTAAGGGGTGACACGTCCTCGACCTATTCTCAAACTTTGAAAAGGTAAGATTTCGGGGTTGCTTAAGTGAACCTCGTACATTCTCGCTGAAGCTCCAAGCGGGCCGTTCTAGGTAAGCAGAACTGTCGATGCGGGATGAACCTAAACTCGAGCTACAGTGCCAAACTGGGTGCTAACCCGGACACCACAAAGGGTGTTGATGATGATGAGGAGGAGGAGGAGGAAGAGGAGGAGAGGGAGGAGGAGGAGAGGGAGGAGGAAGGGGAGGAGGATGAGGAGGAGGACAGGCGGAGGAGGAGGAAGGGGAGGAGGACAGGCGGAGGAGGCGGAGGAGGCGGAGGTGGAGGAGGGGAGGAGGAAGGCAGGCGGAGGACGACGAAGTCATGCAGAAAAAGAGGAGGAAGGCAGGCGGAGGACGACGAAGTTATGCAGAAAAAGAGGAGGAAGGCAGGCGGAGGACGACGAAGTTATGCAGAAAAAAACTATGTTAGGCAGTGGCGATTGTGAGCTCAGGGGAGAAGAAGGCGAAGTGGGAGCGAGGCGGAGGTTCTGGCAATGAAGAGGAGGAAAGCCCCAACTCTCTCTCTCTCTCTCTCTCCCCCCCCCCCCCCCCAGCTACAACAAGAAGAAGAAGAACGTACCTGGTCTCTTCTTCGATTGCAGTTGATGGCGACAACGCAGTGGCAGCAGCATCGCAACGGGCGGCAGCATGGTCCGAGCTTGGAATGCTTTGGCGGGACGGTCAAAAAAAAAAAAAAATCCAGCGGCCCACCGTAGCTCAGTTGGTAAGGCACGCAAGTGGAGGTCTTGGGTTCAATCCCTATTGGCCTCATGTACCTTTCTGGGCAAGCTTAGTGCCCGCCACCTAGAGATATGTCGTTGGTCCCCTAGAGACTGCTGATGCTCATAGGGGGAGGGGACCGGAGGGGAGGCACAGTGACTGGCCCATCGAAGCAGCTCGGTCCTGATCCTACCGGCTGACCCCTGGCCGGTATCGCCCATCTGCTGTAGCAGGTATCGCACCTGCTGGTGGGTGCAGCTCCCGCATGCTCCCTCATTGGAGGCTTGAGCACGGATGTGGATGCTAGGGACGGATGTGGATGCTAGGGGTTCCCCGTAATACTGTAATGACAATAAAAAAGGCCTGATACTTGGCTCAGCTATCGGCCGCCCAAAAAAATACAGTAGAAACGTTTCTAGTTGGATGAATTTGGGCGCTCCTTTAATGGCTAGTACGTTTCCTAAAATCGGGTAGCGTTAACGGGCGCGACTTTAGCCTTCTAAAAAAAAAAAAAAAAAAAAAGTCGGATTGATATTGCAGCTACCAATGGGGCCTAGTTCAGTTGGTGGACCCGTGAACTGTGGATATACAGACCACAGCTCAAATCGTAGTGAAATAGTGCTGAATTATTGGGAATGGTCAGGGTTGTCAAGCCCCAGCGGGGATGCGCGGGTCCAAGGGTGCGCACCCCGACCCCGGCTCCGGACCCCCCCCCAAAAAAAAACAAAACAAAACAAAAAGTGGGGGGTGCACAGCGAGAGCGCGCACCCCTTGGGCTAAACCCCAAAAATGGGTTTTTTTGCCCCACCCCGGACC